CTTCTGAGGAGTGGCTGGTGGGTTTGAACCGCCAGCCATCTGGTTAGCAGGCAAGTGTCTTAGCCACTATGCTACCAGAGCTCCTGGGTGCATTAGGAATAATTATTTTATTTTCTCCTGGTTTATTAAGCTTTTAGACATTGTATTAGTTAGCATGCAGACTAAACTACTGTAACAAAGAAACACAAAATAAGATCGTGACTCAAACAAGAGAGAAATTTGTCTCTCTCACGATAGCCCAGAACTGACAGTGGCTACCTGCTCTAACGGGTTATCCAAGCATCTAGATTCCTTCTATTTCATCCCTGTACCTGCCACCATGTATCATCCTCACTTGCATGGATTAGCCTTTGTCTTCATTATATTCATATTCAAGGCTATAGGAAAAGGAAGAGAGAGGAAACAGAGGCCTATAACTTCCAGTTTTTGAACTAAACCATAAGTTGCTCAGGTGATTTCCACTTAAAATACATTGGTCAGAATTAGTTGCATTGTCCCCCTAGTTGTGTGGGAGACTGCGAAATACAGTCTTTAGTTTAGAAGTCATGTGTCTATAGACACAGCTAGCTTCTGAGCTTTTCAGCCACAACTAAGCAATGTATTTATCAACAGACCAGCTTTGAATGAGAAAAAATATCAGAGCAATATTTACTCTACATAATAAAATTACCTATAAAATTATTCTATCTGAAGTATATTATGAATCTTTAGTGCTATCCTGCACTTGGCCCCGTTTAGCAATGTATATAATGTTCTGAGGCAATAATGCACCCATTGGGTTGTAATCAATTACAGATAGCAGCACAGAATAGAGAAGGAAAAACAACTATAGGCCTGGAGCTGTTTGGGGTGGTATGTTGGTTCAAGTTCACTGAAGTTTAAGCCCTTGATTTTTATAATCTTGCAGGTAACAAGAAATGTCATGACAGCAATTCTCAGTCTGCCTGCAGGAGACATCTATAACCTCTCAGTAACTGCTTGCACCGAAAGAGGAAGTAATACCTCCACGCTCCACCTTGTCAAGCTAGGTAAGAAGAATGCATGGGTATGGGAATGAAAATCATGCAGGGAAAGGTAGTGTCTGCAAATCATGATTTAGTGTGGTTCTCAACTCTGTGAAGCGTACATAGGATATGGCTAAATGTCCTTCATAAGTAGAAAATACACATTTATACTACCAAAAGAATGCCTTCAACTTAGTACAAGTTTTATGAATGAATGTATGCTGTGGTGGGACACAAGAGTGTTCACAATTCTTACTAAGGTTAGAGGAACCAAGGAATTTTAGGATTTGGGAGATGGAAAGAACTTAGGGATTATCTAGTACAGTGTTCTCAACCCAGTCAGACAATCAGCAGCAGGCAATGGAGGATGGATTGGAAAAAAGTGTGTGGTAGACCTCTTGGGGTATCATTAGTATAAGGTGCAGTCCAGACATAAATGTTTAATTTCCATATATAGTTTTCACAGCAGAAACATCCTATCACTGTTATGTTTCAAAAATGAAAATTTTTCAAAACAGCATTAATAAAAATATTTTCTGAACCCTTAATATTTTATTGACATGTCTATTGACATCTCTATGTTTCAGATGACTAATTTATGTTATGTATGAGTCTATTCATAAGAGTCTCAAATCACCTCTGTTAGTCTGTATATGCATATGACAGCTATAAGTAAACACTGATAGCAGACCACTACCGGTTTCTGTCAAAGCTATTTAACTTGTGTAAGTCATGTGGGAACTTGCTACATAGAGATTTTAATGGCTGATTTTTCTGACGTGATCACCACACCTTTTTTCCAAGGCACCGCTGGGTGGATTTGAGCCCCCAGCCTTATGGTTAGCAACTGAGCATATTTGTATTAGCAGCTTAAATACCATGAGGAGCACTGTGGTCTGTGATGTACTTTTCTTCATTTACCCTTTAACTCACTGCCCAATACACTGAATCTCAAATCTTTTCTGTACTGTATATGCAACTGATTCATTGCCCAGGCAGAAAACTACATTCTTTCACTGAAACCCCTTAACAATAAACATGTAGTGGGAAATACGTGAAGTACTGAAGGAAAAGTACGGGCAGAAGAAAATACTATATTCAGTAACTTTAAATCCATTTATGCATCTTTCTCAATGACAACTTTTTCCTGAATTATTTTGTTTAACTTCTTTGAAAAAAACTTTCATTATTATTACACGATGAAGCACTTGAAATTTCTATGTCAACTGTGAGTGGTTATAGTGCAGCATTTAAAAGTCACGTGGAACATAGGCTACTGTTTTGGTTTGAGAGCTCTCTTGATTATTGAAGAACATCTAGAATTTCTGGGTCCTAACCACAGAAGTCCAGTAACTCCCTCTCTGTTGTGACCTCTGAAAACATTCCTGACAATTTCCAAAGTGCCCTCAAGGGGGCGGTACTGCTCCTATTGAGAGATGCATTTAATCTTCCTCCTGTGGCAAGGTATCTGCTTGTCTTCCCTAGGAGTTTATATTTGTATTCGAGGAATGTGGAGATCACCAGCTTCCAACATAATCTGTACCCCTTAAGGGAAAAAAAAAAAAAAAAAGGCCTATCTATCAATTCCAACCATAACCTCTAATTTTGTTCTCTGCGGATGTAAAGGTCAGTTCAAAACTCATTCCCAGGTAACTGGAATTACTGAAGATTCTGCTTATGTTCCTCATGCCATCCCTTTCTTTTCCAACGCCTTATTATTGTAGGTAGCTTTAAATGTTTCTCTGGTCCTGCCTGCTATCTCAAGCTCATTTGGTCTCTCAGTCTCCCTTAAAATTCAAGTTCAGAGGTGGTAGGACCAATGTAGCAATCATGAGTCTATGGAGTGCTTCATGGTATTTTTCTGTGACATATGGATCATTTATAGAGCCTTGGGAGTAGAGATTAAAAGCATAAATTGGCACAATGATATCTACATAGGAGTATGAGGGAAAACCATGATAGTTTCTCACATTTATCATCAGTTTTATGCCTCCATGTCTCCCTATCAAAAGGCAAGACTATCTAAATCAGCTTAGAAATTTCCTTTAAACTTTTCAAGAGGGAAATGAAAATTTTCATAGAAATTATTTCTAGTGAATAACCCTTAGAATCAGTAAGTTTTTCCTTATTTGTGTCTTAATATCAGAAGGATTATTGCCTCTACCTTGTTCCTCTCTGAAGACAGGACAGCCAATATACAATGTTTCTGTCCTTGCCACCCCAACCTCTCCATTTTTTTCCCCTGAAAGCTAAATAACCTTACTTTTTAGCCTTTTGTCAAAATGTCTGTTTTTTATTCCATTACTCATGTTATTGTGTTTTATAAGCTATTTCAATTTCCTATAACATAAAGCCTTGCCTATTGCAGATTTTCAATAAATATTTGTTGATTTGAATGAAATTACAGACCTCAAGGCTAAAAATAGTATTGCAGGTAATATTTAATCAAAACAAATTTCACCTTGCAGAGAAGTGAAATGGCATTTTTTGTTTTCATAAAAAGTGAATTGCAGTTATTTCTGTTTCACAAAACTTTCTTTCTAGTTATTTTATGTTTCTTTCCTGCATTCATTTGATACACACCAAGGTTGTGTTAATTCTATTTTACAGACAAATACAACGTTGCAACACAGATTTCCAGGGCTTGCTCAAATCAAAATGCTATTGCTCAAGCTACAACCAAAATGATTGGGCTAAGTCCTAGTTCAGTTCTTAATTTCTTGTGACAGGGTCCCCTTCCGAATGACTCTACTTGCTGTCACAGAGGGTAGGGTCTATGTTTATGGAAAGAAACCAGACTGCCAATGGGCCCAGAATAATAAAAATCAATCCAAGCTGACAGGTGCAGGGGTGAGGAGCCTTCAAAACAGTTGCCAAGAATTTTCAATTATTACATCATCAATAAAAATACACAAGATGACATGTGCCAATAGTAGTGCTGTTTGCAGGGCATGGAGCCAATCATGCCATTAAGATTTTTAAGTTGCCAGCCATTTCATGGCATCGCAGTGGTATGTGATGACAGCTCTCTGTGGCAATCAATACAAATGTCAATCAAATCTGCACTAAGACTCACCATTTTACAAGAACTCATTGGTCTGCCTCTGACTGTGGCTTCAACCAGCAACTTGTCATATTTTCCACCTTGGTGAATCTGCTTTGAGCTTTAGTCACCTCTGTGAAGATCTGGTAAGTCTACATGAAAAAAAAAAATCAGTTTTCTAAACCAAAAGAAGACATAGAAACAAGAATAAGAAGTGTTTTTTTAAAGAAAACAAAATAAAACACTGCCATCAAGTCAATTTCAATTCATAGCAACCCCCTTTAGGTTTCTGAGGCTGTAAGACTTTACAGAAATAGATTGCTCAGTCTTCCTTCTGTGGAGTGGCTGGTGGATTTGAACTGCCAGCCTTCTGGTTAGCAGTCAAATGCCTTAAAAACTACGTCACACAAAGTTGCTATAAAATAATAGAATAGCTATTCACTCATTCATTTAACAAATGTACACTGAGGACCTTCCAGACACCAGACTACTTGCAGTAATAAACAAAAAAGGCTACTTTAAAATTTTCTATTCACAAAGAGCCTCTGATCTAGTGAAGGTGGACAGGGAGACAGTTGTAAAGGAAAGAGAAGCAAAATTCATATACCAATAGTACTTTGCAGAGCATTAGAACAGGGTAATATATAAAGTCCCAGTGATGTAATGTTGAAGCCCTTAGCTGCTAACCAAAAGGTTGGAGGTTCCAACTCACAAGTGGCTCCACAGGAGACAGACATGTCAATCCACTCCTGTAATGAGTGCAGCCTAGCAAACCCTGTGATGCGGTTCTACTTTGTCACATGGGATCACAGTAAACTGGACTCTACTCAACAGCACACAACAACAACAAATGTGCAGAGTGACCATGTGGTAAAGGCTCTCTCTGATGAAGTGATGGAGGCCGAAATTTGAATAACAAGAAAGGATCGACCACAACATGGGTGAGAAAGAATATGCAAGGCAGAGAGAATTAGCAGAGGCCAGATTATGTAGGACTTTCAAGGCGTGAAGTTGGTATTTTAATTTGGATGTAATGAGAATCCATTTAGAGAATGTAAAATAAATAATGTGATTTACATTTAAAACAAACCCTCTAGTTGATGAAGGGAGAAAAGATTGTTGGATCAACAATGAAAGCATGAAGAGCAATTAAGAAGTTTGTCCTAGTGAACAACTGCATTCTAATTCAAATCTCATGAAAAATCATGGTAATTTGGAGTAAAGTGGTGGTAATGGAGATGGAGAAAAGTGGACAAAATTCAAGAACTTATTTGGGAAGTTGTGCCCATAGGGTTTGTTCAAGTGGGGTGAAAATAGGGAGCAAGAGAAAGGATAATTATGAATGACTCCTTGTCATTGCTTTTGAGCAAAAATGGTGGCTGGTGGTACAATTCACTAAAATGGAAAAAACTACAGAAGTTAGAGGATGAGCAAATATAAGGTATGGCAATAATCAAGAATTCTTTCTTGGACATAGAATGTTGTGGTAACTATAGGACATCCAAGTACAGATGTCAAATAAAGAGTTTGATTTATGTGTCTGGAGGCAGGGGAGAATTCTGAGCTGGAAATATAAATTTGGAAGTGTCTGGATGAGATCACTAAGAAGTACAAATTGAGAAGAGAAAAGGACAGAAGAGAAGAGAAATGCTGGTTTCAGCCCATAGGAACCACTACAGCATTTAGAGTGAACAGAGGAGCCAGCAAGAGAGACTAGGAAGCAACAGCCAATGCATAAGAGAAAACCAAAACAGAGAATGTATAGACGACCATTGTCCAATTTCTGCTTTATCCAGACCAGACACATAGCTTCAGTTTCAGGAGAGACTTTGGAAATGTTCAGTGTAATAGCCTCATTTGTGTAAACTGGAACCTAGAAAAGTTTGACCCACTTTACACACTATTGGGCCCGAGATTAGAAACAGTGGTCCAGTAATTTGTCATCTATCTGCTGCTCATGTTTTCTGGATTTTTTTCCCCT